GAGCGGGAAGCTGGTCCTATTGAGGAAGCCGGGACGGCCTGCCGATTCGGTCGCGGCCTATAGGCCCATCGTGCTGCTGGACGAGGCGGGCAAATTGTTTGAGAGGGTTCTTTCTGCCCGCATCGTCCGGCACCTCTGCGAGGTGGGCCCCGATCTGTCGGACGCCCAATTTGGTTTTCGGGCGGGGCGTTCGACAGTCGACGCCGTGTTGCGCCTGAGGGCCGTGACCGAAGAGGCCGTGAGCTGTGGCGGCGTGCTGTTGGCGGTGTCATTAGACATCGCCAACGCATTCAATAGTCTGCCATTCAGCTGCATCAGGGAAGCACTCCACTATCATGGGGTGCCAAAGTACCTGAGGCGGCTGGTGGCAGACTATTTAGAGGAGCGTACCGTCGTGTACGAGGACCGAGAAGGTAACCTGAGGTGTCGGCCCATGTCGTGCGGTGTTCCACAGGGGTCTGTTCTTGGACCCCTCTTGTGGAACATAGGGTACGACTGGGCCCTTCGCGCCGATTTCCCCCCCGGGCTGGGTGTAATCTGTTACGCAGACGATACCCTCGTGACAGCCCGGGGGGCAAACTTCCAAGAGGCGGCGCGCCTGGCCACAGGGGGAGTCTCCCTGGTGGTCGGGCGCATTGAGGCGCTGGGCTTACGGGTGGCCCTCGATAAGACGGAGGCCCTGTTATTCCATGGGCCCCGTCGTGGTCCACCCCCTGGCGCCTCAATAGTGGTCAACTCGGTCCTCGTACCGGTTCGGGCCCAGATGAAATATCTGGGCCTGATCCTCGACGGGAGGTGGCTCTTCGACGAGCACTTCCGACAGCTTGCTCCAAAGCTGGTCGGCGCTGCGTCTGCCCTAGGGCGACTCTTGCCCAATATGGGTGGACCCAGCGTCGCGACAAGACGGCTGTACACGGGGGTTGTCCGGTCAATGGCACTGTACGGTGCACCGGTGTGGGCGGCGGCTCTGACCGCCCAGAATAGGGTACGCCTCTGGCGCCCTCAGAGGGTAATGGCGGTCAGAGCCATACGCGGTTACCGCACCGTTTCGACGGAGGTGGCATGCGCATTGGCCGGAACTCCCCCGTGGGATTTGGAGGCGGAAGTGCTCGCCGAAGTTTATCGGCGAGTGGCTGACTTCCGGGCGGAAGGCGGATTTCGCCCTCCGCCCGAGGATGTGCGCGAGTGGCGCGAAGCCGCTCGCCGAGCCACGATGGCTCGTTGGTCGTTCCGGCTGGAGACTCCACGCGCTGGCTTCGCCGCCGTGGAGGCTCTCCAGCCGGTCATCGCCGAGTGGGCAGGGCGGCAGCACGGGACCCTTTCCTTCCGACTGACGCAGGTGCTTTCCGGGCACGGTTGCTTCGGAAAGTACCTGCACACGGTCGCTAGGAGGGAACTGAGTCCCGCCTGCCACCACTGCGACTGCAGTGAGGACTCGGCCCAGCACACGCTGGCGGTCTGCCCCGCATGGGCGGCGCAGCGCCGGGCCCTCACTGCAGTCATCGGAGTGGATCTCTCGCTACCGGCCGTAGTACGCTCCATGGCCGGTAGCGACAGTTGTTTTACCGCGGTCGCAACCTTCTGCGAGGTAGTAATCTCGCGGAAGGAGGCGGCGGAGAGGGCCCGGGAGGACGACCTCCACTCGGACCCGATCCGCCGCCGGCGAACCGGGCGGCGGAGGCCCGGCTATCACAGCCTCATGCCGCCCTGAGTGTGGCCGCGGGTGGACGGGGTGGGTTTCCCCTCCACCCGCATTAGTTGGCCAGCCGCGAGGGGGCGGCGTCCGCGTGTGCCGGACGTCGCCTAAAGAGAGGGAAAATATATCGAGACGGAGCCCGCACCAGGAGCGGGCTGGCGCTAGGAGGGGTCCGGATGTCTTAACAACAGCTGTTCCCGGATCCCTCCTGTTACAGGCGCAGAGTGGCACACCGTGTGGTTTTAGTCGGTCCGAGTCCGACACACCACCCCGCCGCAAACCCCGGAGGGGTGACGGTCCGAGGGGATTTCCACACGTTAAAAAAAAAAAAAAAAAAAAGGCTACAGGCTCTGCTTTGGAATCAGACGGCCGAGTGTAGTGTGTGAAAAATATTAATATTATTAAGTATCATATTATTTTAAGAATTTAGAAAAAAAAACCACATAGTCTAGGAAGTTGATGAAGCACAACTCATACACAACAATATATTAAATAATAATAATAATTTATTGGTAAAAATGTGATTGTGACTTAGTTCTAATTTCAATTACATATATACAGATACAATCTTGTGGGTGGAATTCTGTTACCCTTGATAGGTTACGCAGTAACCTGTAGTGAGGAATAACAGTCCTTTCCCCTTTGGAATATGCAATCGGTAAATACAATTATCTATTTAAAACAAATGATGAAATAAAAGTTGAGAACATTTAATTTGGGGAAAAAGCCTTTGACGAAAATGAATTCAATGGAATTAAAATGCAGTAAGATGGGGTATTTATAAAAAATGCCATCATCAATGGCAAAAAATGCTGATAAATGACATTTCATGTATCAATTTTTTTCAAGTTCTCATCATTTTTTATAAATACCCCATCTTACTGCATTTTAATTCCATTGAATTCATTTTCGTCAAAGGATTTTTCCCCAAATTTTCAGTTCAGAGTAATTTCAGTTTGATAAAGTGCATATTATAAAAAAATATTCGTTTGTCATTGTGCGCACATGGACAATCAATCCTATTAATCATTTTGATGTAGAAATTATATTTTCGATCTTGATTGTCAAACAGTAAGTAGCCTTCGCGTATGAGTTTATCATATTTAAGATTGTGCGCGCATCAATAATGGCTTGATTATTTAATTTTGAATTACGTTATTAATTTTCCATTGTGTTATTTCCAATCTAATCTAATCTGTTATAACGAAGACGTAATGCAATTAGAAATTTGGTTTTTGCGAATCAATCTACTGCAGATGGACAAAACATCACACAAAAACAGCATGAAAACCAAGCGAGGAAGTACAGCAAATAGCTCAGTTGCGACAGAGTTCAGCGCCGGACAATCTCAACGCCGAACACTCGTGGTCGATGATCGAGTTAATGTAAAATAAACTCGTACTAGACCCCCAGTTTATAATGAGAAATCGCTTATCGTACTTATTATACGACTAGCTAGTACCCGCGACTTCGTTTGCGTGGAATTTGTAATAAAAATGTAAATTCGATTCCCAACCAAATTTTGTAGGGTTTTTCTGGTAGTAAATATTATCAAAATCGGACCAACCGTTTTAAACCCGTACTCCGAACAAACAGACAGACATGCAGACAAAAAATATTTAAACTGGTTTTTAGGCATAGGTATCAAATGCAGATAACGTGCATGAGCATGAAAAAAAAAACAATTATTTTGATATATATTATTGAAACACACATTTTCTTACAACTTAATGAAACTAGAAGCTTGCCGTTTATGGGGTTGGGTTGTGTCCATTGAGATAATATATAGATAGAGAAGAGAAGCGATCTACGGTCCGAGACGTCGTTCGAAAAAAATTCGGCGATTTACATGTCTCTCGCACATCTTCGCTGATTTGTTGGCCCGAAGTGGTCGCCGTCTTTTTTCTCTTTCTACCGATGTCGCAATTTCACTTACAAGCAATCCAATACATTCTTCCCTCTATCTGTATTATCTCTATGGTTGTGTCTCTCACATGAGGCGATTACCGAGATACTATACTAATTGAGATTTATACGTCAAAGGTGTAATTTTGAAGAATGTACAAACTAATTGACTTTAATGTACTAATTCTTAAATAAGATAAAAAGTAAACAGAATATACAAAATAAAAATACCGATCAACTACTCAAGTAAAGTCATTTCCATACCTAATTTAAAGTTAGTTTTAAATATTTCTTTAATAGATTAGATAAAGATTAGTAAGCTAGATTTTAATGTCGCCGCTTTCTACTGCGCCGAGTGTTGTGGGTTCAAACCCCACATGGGACGACACTTTGTGTGAACCACAAATTGTTGTTCTGAGTCTGGGTGTTCTTTGTGTCCGTTTCATGTATGTTTGTAAAGTCCCCCGCGACACAGGATATATTCCTAATGCGGGAGTTGTCTTTTTAAAGAAAAAAAAAAAAAAGAAAAAAAAAGATAATGTTGGATATTTTTGTGTGAATTTTACAAAATATTATACACTAGCTGACCCTCCTAACTACGTCTGCATCTCTCAAAAGGGTTCCCCGCTTTTTCATTGATGTTCAGTTCCTATTGTTTATAGCGAGGTGTCATAATATAGCCTTCCTCGATAAATGAACTATTCATCACTAAAAGATTTTCAATTCGCACAAGTCGTTTCTGAGATTAGCAAGTTTAACCAAACAAACTCTTCAGCCATAGATAATACGAAAATAAAGTAATTTAGAGTTTTACATCTCATCTATTAAAACTTTGATTTTTATGTCCAAGTAGCGTCGATTTTGAACAACAACATAATGTAGAACATTTCGATGTGATTATTTTATTATTTTACTATTTAGTGAAATTAATTGATATCAGTTGAATAGTTACAAATTATAAATGGTTGTGAAAACACGTAACAGAAAAGTTATTTGTAAAGATAAAAATGCATGTTTTGGACGGTTATCGACGACGGTGACGTCGTGAGCATACTTTTATGTGCATTATAATTTCAATAAAAAACAAGTTATTGTTAAAAATAAATTTATTTATCGCAGTTGCATTCACCGTTACGACCAAAGGCGAGATAACGGTCATTACCATTGAGTTTTAACGTTAACACGGATTTTCAATGAGTAAACTAATGATATATCATTGTTTCTTTTTCATAATAACACTATCTTGATTGTTGAATAATTTTCCTTGATTTCTTTAACATTATACTTGTTGTTTAATTTTAATTCTCTCTTTCATACTGTTAATGATACAAAGGCAAAAAACGGTCCATGTGATTTTTAACAGTTTTGTAATACATGAATGTGATAACGCATTAGATATTTACGAGACACTGGCGTCCATCTTTACTTGATCTCTTGCCACTTGGAAAGATGCTATGAGAGCTGCTAACTCGATACGTTCACTGCAACCCGAAGCCAGTCGGGCCTCTGAGTCCGCCATTTTAATAAGCAGAGAAATCAACACCTCTGGAGGTAATTTTACTGTAAAATGCAATATCATCTATTAAAAAAAAAACACATTATTTTCGACTATATATTCATTACCATTTCAGCCATTGGGGCCTATGTGTTTGCATTTTAAATATATGTATTTATTATAACACGAATATATTATATTATATATCTACGTGTTATAACGGACCTGATTATTAAAGAGATATATCGAGGGCCATATTTGGAAATTATAGAGGTATCGACCCAGAAAGGTGATCATGGCAAATTATAAGAAATACATTCCAATGTAGGACGGTTTGCAAGAACACAGTCTTTATGAGAAAAGGGCATTGAGAAATTACATTCCAAGAAAGTACATTCTGAGACGGTATAAACCTGACTAAATTAAAAGTATGAAAAATGTTACCTCTCTGTATTATTGTGTGAACTTCTGTCAAAATGTCACCAAGAGCCAGACCTTTTGCAATTTTAAGGTCCTGAATATCTGAACAATATACTGTAAAGAAACTCATACTATAAAGTTATAAATTACTTATAACTACATCTGAACCTTAAATGAAATAATATATGGTGTCTCAGTATAAGTGCACTTTTTAAATTAAGAATCTTTTCTTTTTCGTGCAAGTGGCAACTCTGAAATTTGACAGCTGCCACCTATGTTTATTCCGATTATTAAAAATGGAGCGCTTTTCGGAAGAACAACACGTTATAATTTGTGAAAACATTACAAAAATGGGGAAGTTACGCTGAAACCACTCGCAAACTTCAGTCGAGAAAGTGCACCTAATGTGTCAACCATTCGAAGTGGTAAAAAAAAATTAAGAAACTGGGTCGCCTATGGATATTAAGAATCCTTTGCGTCAACATACCGGTCGGTATCATGAAAATATTACTACTGTAAATGAGTGTCGCCGAAAACCCGAAAATATCAATTTGGCATCGTTCTCAACAACTTCAAATTTCACGAAGCACTACGCAGCGAATTTTGACAAAAGACCTCCACCTTCATGCGTACAAGATTCAGCTAACTCAGGAGCTCATACCGGCAGACCATGGAAAGCGCCGGCAATTCGTTCAAGGGGTAATGGAGCAAAGTGAAGTTGTAGCCAATTTTTCGAAAAAGTCATCTTGATGATGAAACGCATCTCCATCTGAATGGCTACATGAATACACAAAATTGACGAATTTGCGGCTCAGAAATCCTCATGCAATCCATGAGAAACAAATGCACCCACAACGAGCAACTGTCTGGGGCGGATTTTAGTCAGGTGGCGTGATTGGGCCTTACTTTTTTGAAGATGAGGCCGAAATTACAGTGACTGTGAACGGCATTCGTTACAGGAATATGATAACGGGAGTTCTTGTGGTCTGAACTGGACGGCATGGATCTGGACAACATGTGGTTTCAGCAGGACGGCGCCACCTGCCACACCGCGCATGAAACAATCGACTTATTTACCTTATAATATATAATTATATACCTATTTCCAGAGAGTACGATGCACGAAATTCTGATGTCAACTGGCCACCAAGATCGTGCGATTTAACGCCGTGTGCGTTTTTTTTCTTTGGGGTTTGTGAAATCTCGGGATTATGCGAATAAACTGGAAACAATGATTGAGCTCAAATCAGAGATCCAACACGTCATCGGTGAGATACAACCACATCTCTTGTCATGGAAATTTTCATGAAAAGAGTAATGGCCTGAGTAATTTGCCGGATATTTTATTCCAAACTTAATCGGAATATGTCTCCTTTACAATCCAATAAAAATATCGCAACTCTTTCATAAAATACGTGGTTTTTTTTTTTAAATGAAAAAGTGCACTCTTACTGAGACACCCTTTACATCTTAGTGCAACTTTATACAACGCTTAAGTAACACGATGTTGTAAATCGAGTCTAGAGCTGGTATTAATGGTTCACACATTTTTGCTCTTATGTTTGCCCGTGATAAATAATTAGATCAAGCTTCCATAGCCAAGTCAGCCTAATTGTTAAAGTTTTTGTCACGTACTGGTTATATAGACGACAGTATTTTTGCTATCTTATCTGTCTTAACTGTCTAGTATTTCGGGGTGGTACAAATAATATTTCATGTTGATATTGACACGTCACTTATTAAAAAGGATACGTTTGAAGCACACAGCAAAGTCATTTTCATTGAGTAACCAGTGCAGTATTTTGTTAATATCAGACCGCAGCGGGTGCCCCACGCATGTATAGACATTGTCTTCAGTGACGTCGCGGTACGCTAGCCACGTACTCTGCAGAGTATTGAGAACTTTCCTCATGTCGCCACCAGATAGCGCCAGCAACGCTTTCACTCCATCTTCTGATATTTTTACACTGCAATATAAGAATAGTGCATCATATACGGATGTATATTGTAAATGACCAAAATATAACCGTCACCCGTTTGTTTTATTGTTTCTTGCTTAATCTGTAACTAAAATATCGAGGTATCGGTTCTTTCAAGTACGTAGGTAATTATACTTGCCCTGACCGACTAATTGATTCATCAATGCAGAGCCTGAATCGCTGGAGCTACAAACTTAATTAACTGATGCTTTTTATGTTGTAAGCACCCATTAAGAAAGGATTTTGGAAATTTCACCCCTAAGGGGGTAAAATAAAGTATGAATAGTTATACGGAAGAAGAAATAAGAAATAATCACGAGAGTGAAGCCGTGGGCAATAGTTAGTTTCATATAAAAAAGTATCGCATACCCCTCAGCCTCCGCAATCTCTTTGAGACGTGGTACTATCTGTGTCTGTTGCAGCGGCGCAAAACGGAACCGGGTGCATCTCGACTGAAGAGCAGGGATTATTTTACCCAAATAATTGCAAATAATACAGAATCTTACATTTTCTGTATACTTTTCTATTACTGAAATATAAAAGAGAATTAATATTATTCAAATGCGTTAATGTCACAGGAACAAGAGTAAAAGACTTTGCCGATACTCAAAGGAAGTTTTTACCTTTTATTCAGATTTGCAAGCAAATATCAGAAACAGGATTTGCAAGCATGATGCAAAAGATAAATTATGGAATACGGTAGTTTAAAAGTAAGTATGATAAATTCAACGGAACAAAATTCTGCTTACATTCTACTCTTAGACCAGTTACCGTTTCTACTAGCTATTGAGTAATTAAAACGAACAAATATACAGAAATCATTTATTATTGTACAGAACATATACTAGACGATGCTTTTCTCTGCACTTTTCTCAACGCTTTTCTGTTCATGATAAGCGACTGAGAAGATATTCCCTGCAGAGACAACGGTGTATGTCCATTCCTTTCAGGATCTTTTGGGAGCGGGGACCTTCCGTTCATAATAACAGGAGGCAGCCTTTGGACTTTAATACCTAACACTCTGGCAACAAGAGTCGTAAACAAATTATTTACCTGGAAAAAATTAAATATAGATTTATCTATTAAATTCCAAATAGTTTATCTGTATAAACCGCAGATATTAATGCCTTAAAAATTTAGTTTATCTATTCTTTTAACTTTATATTTTATTCCTAATAATTAGTTCTTGTTATGTAGCACTGTTATCGAGAAGCCGAAACCCGATCGAAATGGCGTGCAATGGGAGAGGCCTATGTCCAGCAGTGGACTGCGATAGGCTGATAATGATGATGATGTGGCACTAACTTCACGTAAATACTCATTTATAGCTTTCTTAGTTGTAAATATTCCGTTTAGGTTTCAGCTAATTTTACTATTATGATGCTAAGTATACGACAAACAAATATTTTACTGCATAAAACATAATTCGAGATTTACCATTTCTCCTGTCCTTGCAGAACCCTTGAAATTTTCCATCAAATGTTCAGAAGCAAACTTCTGGACGCAAGAGAGTCTTATCGCTCTCTGATGTTCCAAATCCGACTTATTGCCGAATAAGGCCATTAATGGCTTTTGTACATCATTTTCAAATATTTCTTTCACCTTTATTAACCATATGCTTAGCTTCTCGAAACTTTGTAGATTTGTAAGATCGTATACTAGCAATATTATCTGAAAAAGAAATTTGTAATTAACTCAAAAATTAAGGCATCCATAAAATTAATCGAATTTAAACCTATTTACATATGAGGTAGTTCTCATTTCCGGACATCCATTAAATGAGGACTACTAAAAAGTATATTTTTAATATAGTTTGTGTATGGAATAATTTCATTGAAATCAGTTGCACAACATTTTAAACCTATAGACTTTGAATACGATGAATTCATTTTATTTACGTTAGGTTTAACGCAACTGCTTATAGCATACTCCAATTCCATAATTTTCATTATAGTTTCATTCCTAAATTCCTAATTCATGAATGTATTGTGATAATCGAGTCTTCCTAAGACTCGATTATCACAATACATTCGTATCTGTACTTACATTTAGATAGCATTACATGATACGAGTTTTTAAGTTTCCGGCTTATGGCCGTACCTAGTGTATATACAATTATCTACACATTGTGAATTAAATATTATTTGACTTACATCTGAAGCAAATAAATAATTAGAGAGCATTCGCGTCGCTAATGCGTTTCCGGCGACGTCACACAACTGCAGTGGCACGGGTGGGCGTAGATCCAGGCACTGGCCGGCCATCACCTCGGCACCCTGAGTGCCGCCGCCAGCCACGACGTTCCCGCCCAGGTAACGATAACATAGACTGCTCTAAAATCATAAGGCATGTATTTAAAAATTGCAGAATTATTCGTATTACGTCAAAAAAAATATTAACTGCACTAACATACATATTCAATTAGTATATTTATCCGCAGCAATGATCTTAAGAGTGTGAAATGCCCAGGAATACCTCTAACACCTCTCTGTCAATGTGACACTGATTCATAGCATAATTAAGTTTTATTATCTATACATAAATACACCTATATTTTTGTACAACTCGATAGATAATGGGTGTACTTACCTTACCAGTAGATGGTTCTCCAACAATTGCAATCTTAACAGTTCTACATTGAACTTCTTCGTCTTCACTATCCAACATGTTATATGTAACGCATTTTTAGAATTCATTTAATAACAAACTAGGGATTTACCACTCTTATTAGAACACAGCTGGTACAGTACCAACTATTAAGAACTTAAAATAAAAGATCTAATATGGTATGAGGTTTGTGTTCACACTTGATATCCATGGCAACTAATTCAGTTTTGTCTAGAACTGACTTCTAACATATAAATATATTTGTTAATCAATAGACACACACATTAACAAACAACGTATGTATTACATCTATTTGTCAATTTTAGAGTAAACCTGAGTCTATGTGGTTAACTGGGATGGCATATTCAGTGAAATATTCTAAATTACAATGATAAATGAAATTTAGACATTTTATAATATTACAAAATTTTTAACAAAAAAAAACCGACTTCAAAAAACACTATTCCAAAAGGCTTGCTTGGCTGACACCGACTCCAAAAATAACGAAAATTATACTCATTTTATTTTACTTAGGATAACTCAAAAAAATATTTCGATCGTTGTTTGTTATTCATAGGTATATGTTGAGTTAGATTTGAAGTGGGTAGGTAGGTTCTTACGTGGTAAACATATAGATCGTACCTACATATTGATGAGTAGAAAAAGTAAGTTGATTATTAAGTTGTAGAAGAATATGCAGTTATTTTTTAACTTTTTAGTGCATAATAGTTTCTTTTGGAATAGTGATTTTTGAAGTTTTTTTTTTTTTTTGTTAAAAATTTTGTTTATTTTTTTGATTTTTAGTGAATCTGAAGTACACGTACTAATTTTTCTGAATATGGGTAGACCTAATAAACGTGCTGCTAATATAAGACAGCGCCGTTTGCATGAAGCAAGCGAAGTCAGAGGGAAACGCCTTTTTTTTTTTTTTTTTACGTGTGGAAATCCCCTCGAACCGTCACCCCACCGGTGTTTGCGGCGGGGTGGTGTGTCGGACTCGAACCGACTAAAACCACACGGTGTGCCACTCTGCGCCTGTAGTAGGAGGGATTTTCCTCTCTTTAGGCGACGTCCGGCACACGCGGACGCCGCCCCCTCGCGGCTGGCCAAACTAATGCGGGTGGAGGGGAAACCCACCCCGTCCACCCGCGGCCACACTCAGGGCGGCATGAGGCGGTGATAGGCGCGCCTCCGCCGCCCGGTTCGCCGGCGGCGGATCGGGTCCGAGTGGAGGTCGTCCTCCCGGGCCTTCTCCGCCGCCTCCTTCTGCGAGATTACTTCCTCGCAAAAGGTTGCGACCGCGGTAAAACAACTGTCGCTACCGGCCATGGAGCGTACTACGGCCGGTAGCGAAAGATCCACTCCGATGACTGCAGTGAGGGCCCGGCGCTGCGTCGCCCATGCGGAGCAGACCGCCAGCGTGTGCTGGGCCGAGTCCTCACTGCAGTCGCAGTGGTGGCAGGCGGGACTCAGTTCCCTCCTAGCGACCGAGTGCAGGTACTTTCCGAAGCAACCGTGCCCGGAAAGCACCTGCGTCAGCCGGAAGGTAAGGGTCCCGTGCTGCCGCCCTGCCCACTCGGCGATGACCGGCTGGAGAGCCTCCACGGCGGCGAAGCCAGCGCGTGGAGTCTCCAGCCGGAACGATAAACGAGCCATCGTGGCTCGGCGAGCGGCTTCGCGCCACTCGCGCACGTCTTCGGGCGGAGGGCGAAATCCGCTCTCCGCCCGGGAGTCAGCCACTCGCCGATAAACCTCGGCGAGCACTTCCGCCTCCAAATCCCACGGGGGAGTTCCGGCCAACGCGCACGCCACCTCCGTCGAAACGGTGCGGTAACCGCGTATGGCTCTGACCGCCATTACCCTCTGAGGGCGCCAGAGGCGTGCCCTATTCTGGGCGGTCAGAGCCGCCGCCCACACCGGTGCACCGTATAGTGCCATTGACCGGACAACCCCCGTGTACAGCCGTCTTGTCGCGACGCTGGGTCCACCCAAATCGGGCAAGTCGCCCTAGGGCAGACGCAGCGCCGACCAGCTTTGGAGCAAGCTGTCGGAAGTGCTCGTCGAAGAGCCACCTCCCGTCGAGGATACGGCCCAGATATTTCATCTGGGCCCGAACCGGTACGAGGACCGAGTTGACCACGATTGAGGCGCCAGGGGGTGGACCACGACGGAGCCCATGAAATAACAGAGCCTCCGTCTTATCTAGGGCCACCCGTAAGCCCAGCGCCTCAATGCGCCCGACCACCAGGGAGACTCCCCTTGTGGCCAGGCGCGCCGCCTCTTGGAAGTTCGCCCCCCGGGCTGTAACAAGAGTATCGTCTTTGTAACAAATTGCACCCAGCCCGGGGGGGAAATCAGCTCGAAGGACCCAGTCGTACCCTATGTTCCACAAGAGGGGTCCAAGAAAAGACCCCTGTGGAACACCGCACGACATGGGCCGACACCTCGAATTACCCTCTCGGTCCTCGTACACGACGGTACGATCCTCTAAATAGTCTGCCACTAGCCGCCTCAGGTACTTTGGCACCCCATGATAGTGGAGTGCTTCCCTGATGCAGCTAAATGGCAGACTATTGAATGCGTTGGCGATGTCCAATGACACCGCCAACAGCACGCCGCCACAGCTCACGGCCTCTTCGGTCACGGCCCTCAGGCGCAAAATAGCGTCGACTGTCGAACGCCCCGCCCGAAAACCAAATTGGGCGTCCGACAGATCGGGGCCCACCTCGTAGAGGTGCCGGACGATGCGGGCAGAGAGAACCCTCTCAAAGAGGGAAACGCCTATCTCAACCTCAATGGCAATCTACCTCGAGAACAATTTCAAAAGACTTGCGAAGAGCGCAAAAATAGACTTTCGAAAATGCGGCTTTACATAAGAAAGATTTTGAACAGGGAAAATATCGAAAAACGTAGTCACCGTCTCAGCTTGATCAACAATCGTCTATCGAATGAGACGGAGAAGCAATGTGCAAACCGTCTCGGCTTAATCCACGATCGTCTATCTAATGAGAAGGAGGAGCAACGTTCAAACCTACTCGGATTAATCCACGATCGTCTATCTAATGAAACGGAGGAGCAACGTGCCCACCGATTCGGATTGATTCACGATCGCTTATCAAACGAAACACCTGAAACTCGTTCACTTCGACGTATACAGACAGTTAGAATTGCCACAGATTGCACCCTTACTGTAAACCGTTAAGGAGTTTCATTGATCATTATATTCGACTACGACAATTACTTCCGTTACTGTCCCTGTGGTGACGGATTAAGAATACAGAATGTCACCACCCCTTTTGATCCCATGGGTGTCGTAAAAGTCGACTGAGGGAGCAAACTACGCAGGACAACAACACTGCAAAGAGAAGGAAAACTTGAAACAAACCCTATACCAACGCGTCTGGCCAGCGTGGTATAGTAGGCTAAAACCTCTTTTCTAAGGAGAGGCCTATGTCTAGCAGTGGACCAGGAATGACTATTGATGACAACAATTACTTGACCATAACGTCGTCACTGTAGGTGACTCAAATATCCGGATAGCCTTTAAATGATTCAGCCGAGTATCGTTAATTTGCTCCTAAGAATTGAAGAGTTCCGTTACTTTGTCGTAGATCCCATGATCAGAATCTAACCAAACTCTCATCAAAGTATCGTTAAAGTACATTCATTCCAATAAAAAACGAATTATCTAAATCGGTTTGCGTGATATTGAGTTATTCGTCTGTTTGTCGCGAACATACTGAATGCAAATTTAAGACTTATATGGTTTTCTCATGGATGCCCTTATCAGAACTGAACCAAATTAAAATGGGACCACACGGGAATCACCAGCGTTCAAATAAAAAAAGAATCATCAAAATCGGTTCAACTAGTCAAAAGTTATGAGGTAACAAACATAAAAAAAAAATACAGTCGAATTGAGAACCTCCTCCTCTTTTTTGAAGTCGGTTAAAAATAAGTCAGCAATTAATTGTATATCGACGCGTATAATTAAAGCCTTTTTGTACACTGATGTATTTATTAGGTAAAAGTTGAAATCATTGAAATGGGTCCATACTAATACTGGTTCTTAAATGTTTAATTAAGACTGCCATGATTCCAATTGTCAGATAAAGAATAGATAGCACAAGCTAAAATTAAAATATGCATATCTTTCTGCTGAACTAAGGATAAGTATTATAAGTTTATAAGATAAGTAGTATAAATTACATGTTTGTCATTCATCATTTAAAAATATTTATTGATTTATTTTTATAGCATAAGGGCCAAAAAAGCAGACTAAAGTCGTCACAACATAAGAAGCCCGTTTTGACGTTTCTCATTTGACATGCCGCGATAACTTTGTATGAACGTCTATGTAAGAAATTGAAAAATAAATTCATAATCCTATTTAATTACTATGTTACCCAAACACTATCACAACGCGTATCATAAATAAGCATCTTTCAGTTTAACTTTATATTGAAAAAATGCACTCAAAAACACGAATTGATCGTTGATTAATATTCCGACAGGACTTTACTACAATGTCATGTCTTTGGATTGGTTGCCGTAGTGTTGTAACCGTTAAAAAGCCGTTTTATGGCCGAATAAAATAGAGTTTCTGAAAATCGTTTACAAAAATTACATTAAAAAATGAGATAGATGTGTAATTTGTGTATTATTTAATATAAAACATATAAACATATAAAAACAAAATCTGATCACAAATAGTTTTAGCTTTATTTTGATATTTAATATGAATATTCTGATTTTATACTAAATGATTTGGTTAAAAAACCAAATCATTTCATCATGATATTGAAAAAGTAATTCATCCGTCACGTCATGTCTCATTTTGCAACAGTCACATTTGACAACAGTCCTTAAAAGTCAGTCTATAAAACTTTTAAAGAATTATCAAAGCCGTACATAATTTGTTTCCTTTCTCTATGTACCTATAGAATGGTTTGTCTATGACCAAGCGGCACGTGATCCATGCGCGTACCACGTACTGCGCAGTCTTTCGTTCGATATCTTGTGAAGTTGACTGTGCGCTCGTTTATTTTTGATATTTTTTCTAGACTCGGCTTTGCTTTTGGACTGTTATTGTTTACTATCACGTTGACCTTGGCTCTTCTATTCCGGACATTGATTAGACATAGCGAATTTGACTCGATTTCGGTGTTTGTTGTTATATTGTACAAACTCTGTTTCAACATGTCGAAAAGAGGACGTACAATCAACAGCCAATCACGCGAATTGGTTGTGAAGTTAACCGAATACTTCGAACGCGAATCAGTTAATGGTGGACCATTATTACCCGTAACTCAAGTGCAAGATCGCGTAGCAGAAGCACTTGGAATCGGCAAAAAACCTATTCGAACCATTTTGAAGGAAAAGTATGGGTCTTCCAGTACTGAAGAAAATGTGTTACATACTCCTAAGAAGAGGAAGAAAAGCAAGCCTGTAACAGGTATTGACACATTTGATGCAGATGCTATTCGAAACCACGTATATGCTTATTACACGAGAAGTGAGTACCCAACTGTAAGTTGGTGGTATCACTAAGAGAGGCTGGCCTGTTTAGTGGCAGTGCAACATCTTTAATAACAATTATGAAGCAAATTGGTTTCAAATACAATAAAACCAACATGAGGAAAATTATGATGGAACGATATGATATAATTTTGCACAGAGTATCATTCTTGAGGCAAATGAACAAAATTACAAATTGGGATAATGTCATATTTATCGATGAAACTTGGCTGAACTCGAATCATACCGTGCCACAGTCATGGACGGATGATGTCAAGGCATCTTGTTCAAAAGTGCCAATGGGTAAGGGTGGACGCCTAATAATCTGCCATGCCGGATCAGCCGGGAGAGGTTTTGTGCATGATGCTCTACTCGCATTCGAGTCCAGAAGTACAAAAGAATACCACGAAGAAATGGATGCAAATAAATTCTTAGAGTGGTTTACTAAATTGTTAATAAACCTCCCCGAACAGTGCACAATAATTATGGATAGTGCACCTTACCATTCAGTTCAAATAGATAAGGCACCTACTCAAGCAAGAAAAAAGGCAGATTTAGTGGCGTGGTTACAAAGAAAAGGCGTAGAAGCTGACATGAATTTATTGAAAGCTGAACTGCTGGAATTAGTAAAACAAAATAAACCTGCAAAACTAAGATATAAAATCGACGAATTGGCACTTCAACATGGTCACAAATTGATAAGAACGCCGCCGTACCATTGTCAGTACAATGCTATTGAATTAATCTGGGCTCAGGTCAAAGGATACGCAGCACGTCATAATACAAAGCCACCATTCTCCACTAAGAATATGATGACATAGTTAACAGAAGCTTGTGATAAAATAACTAAAGAAGATTGGGCAAAAGTGGTAGAAAAGACGCGAAAAATAATAAAGGAAGATTATGATAGAGACGTCAATATTGATAATATTATAGAAAATGAAATAATTATATATACAGGCGACGATAGCTCATCTGGCTCGTCATCAGAAGAAAATGATTGATTTCACTTTTCTTGATTTTGTTGTGATTGAGCTAAATTTTTAAATTAAAGACAAATTGACATTTCTTTCCATTGCATCATTTTAAATTGCCTATAACATTAAAGTTTAAGTTATATGTTCTTAAATCCAATGCACTGTGTGATATATAGGCAAATTAATCAAATACTCTACAAGCTTGAATCGATTTAACGTAAGTATCGTGCACCGAGTCGTATGGATAATCACTAGTTACGCCACTTCTTCTTCTTCTATTTTGTGACGCCTGTAATAACCTGATTGACTCTAGATAAAAAAAAACTTCAAGAAATATTAATAGAAATATTATTAATACTCAGCATGTATGCTAGAGGTGCCACTTCCTATTTGGTTCTCGTTTATTCCTGAAACTAGGTACATAACCAAACCAATTGACATATGGTGAAAATCAAATCTTATCATGATGTCCTTGTGGTCATAAAATAAATTATTTTGATAAAGATTAATCTTTAAATATTCATTTAAATGCAAATATCTCGAAAAAGCTCTTGTTTGAACACAAATAATACTTTAGCATTAACGTACGGAGGAGCGGAGACTACTAGCACAAGCATCTTATATGCTTAAAAGGAGTCTCCAACAATAATTGTTGTGATTATACCTGTGTTATGGAAATAAAGTTATTATTATAAAAAAAAGAACAAAAAAATACTACAACACAAATAAAAAAATTCAATAACACTAAAATTTAATAGATAGAAATATGGTATCACTGACTTTTTGTGGGATTATTTAAGGTGCATTAGGTTGCAAAAAATTGTTTTCAATTTTTGCAACTAAACTCTGTTCCAAAAATAACGGGTCAGTCACATAAACCTGAATATCTCCCGAACTACGTATGCCATCCTAATGAAACGAAGACTGTTCAATTGAGAATTTAATTATACAGATAAAAAATAAAATAAAACTTAAATCTAAACTCTCTAACTCTTAACTTATCTCTAAATTAAAAATAAAACTAAAGTAGTCATATTTTTCTTAAGATTTCATTTTTTTATGATTGTTTTTTTGCTGTTTTTCATCACTTTCTTCATTTAATACTTTGTATTGCCTCCACGAGCTCTTCTGACAGCTTCCAGGCGATTAGGCATGCTGTACACCAAATTTCGGAGCCGGTGCTGAGGAATACCTTCCCATTCCTCCACCAGTGCTTGTTTGAGCTCGGGAAGCGTGATTGGTGGGGGGTTTCGACCTTTCACGCATCTCTGAAGCTCGTCCCAGGCGTGCTCGATGGGGTTTAAGTCCGGGCTTCGCGCTGGCCACTGCATGAGTTCGATACCGACCTCTTCAAGGTAGTCATGTACAATTCTGGCGGTATGGGGACGCGCATTATCATGCATTAATATGCCATGCCGGTCCATCTTGGCCATGAAAGGACCTACATGTTCATTGAGGATCTCTGCCACGTACCTCTCTGCATTTAGAGTTCCGTTTTGAATGAGTACCAGCTCGGTGCGGGCCTCAGTAGAAATCCCAGCCCAAACTTGTACGGAGCCTCCACCGTACGCCACTTTTTCCTCCACACACGCTTAATGGAAGCGCTCCCCTGGTCTTCTGTACACCAACTGCCTACCATCATGCTTATAAAGCATGAATTTAGACTCGTCCGTGAACATTACCCTAGACCAATCGTCTAGTGTCCAGTTTAGGTGCTCGCGCACGTATCTCTGTCTTGCAATTCGATGTCCCCGTTCCAGTTTGGGGCCATTTGCCGTCTTCTTCTTACTGTTTGAGCGCTTAAATTGCCACCTCCAAAGCGAATAAAGTGAGTTTTTAGACCAACAGCAGTTTGAAAACGATTTCGGAGCATTGTAGCCACCAGTTGTCTGTCTTCCCTGGCCGTTGTGCATCTTGGTCTGCCATTTCCTGGTCTTCTAAGGTGTGATCCGGTCTCTTGGTACCGCTGGACTACCCGCTGAACAGTCGACAAAGATACACCAATGTTTCTGGCTGTTTCACGCTGGCTCCGCCCAAGTTCCAAAAAAGTTAGGATTCTGGTACATTCCTCTAGCGTGACTGCCATGCTTCACCTCACAGAATAATAATTATGCACGTGGAAGACGTTCACGATAATTTTTTTTGTGACAGAATAGAAATGGAAAGCATCTATAATGAAATGAAACAAAAATTTTGTTTTCAAAAATAGTCATTTTTTTTAATTTTGTTTTTCTAATGAAGTTTAAATTTAAAAAAAATTAATCAACCAGTTAAAATAATATGCTATTAGAAGCGCAACTAAAAAGTCTTTATTCTGTTTTTTATTTCATTGATCTAACTTTTACAGTTCTGGAGGTATTTCAATTTTTGTGACTGACCCGTAATTTTTGGAACCGAGTGTATTTAGGGAGCACATGCAAATAATTATTTTATAAGGGGTGTCATTTTCCGATTTGCTTCACAAAAAAATATGATAACTCAGCTAATATTTACTATATTAATATTATTTATAGTCTATTCTCTAAATTAATAAAAGAATTTTCAGAATCGTTTCAGCGGCTGTTCCAAGATTACCCCCTACATAAAAACGATTTTATCTCTTTATTATATTAGTATATATAGATAGTAGGCCAAAACCTCCTTTTTAAGGAGAGGCCTATGTCCACCAGTGGACTGTTATAGGCTGTTGATGATGATGATCATATATTTAATATCGTTTTTATTTTAATAAAAACTCATAATGTACAATAGAACAACAAATTCGCAATGAGAAAACATAGACAAATGACGAAAGATACTCAATCTAAGTAACTTATTCTTTAGAGGGCTTGGAGTTCCTGGCAAAAGCCAATTAATGTTCCAAGTAAGCAAACCTGACCTGCTCGCGCATTTGGTTACTGCCCCTAAGCCACTCATATAAGCGATATATTTTTCTCATTATTACCATCGTATCACTTAAATGCCCAATTGAGGGCAATAGCCTAATATTTATTAATAGACTAAAATTATAGTTGGCAAAATGTAGACGTTAAATACACCTCCAGACCTCTATCTCACTTCGTGGATATGGTGCGAGTGTTAGTATTATTGCTTCTTTCAAACTAAAATGACTTTTACACTGAGTTTCCAGAATATGGAACCTCATTGGCAGTACAAAAATAGACATTAGTATTTTTAATATAGTTTAGAGAATCTTGTAACAGAACTGGCACGTCTAGCAGTGCTATAAGTACAATGGTGCAGATGAACATAATTATGTTAATTAGTAATATGCCAACAATGTCACCTCTTACTAGAGTTGACGTAGTTGGCATGAGAACAATTTACACTTACTTCTACGAAGGGCATTTTGAGCGTCATTTGTCATTGCATCAGCTTCATCCAAAATAATAAGCTTTGGACCTGCTTTGAATATAGTTCTTGTTGAAGCAAAGCTGAGTATCTGCCCTCTTACAATTCCAATACCTCTGTCATCTGAAGCATTTAATTCTAATACCTGAAAAACATCCATCATGAATGCTTATACTAATAACCAGTATGTATTGAAAAATAATGAGCAGAAATAAAGAAGTTGACACCCATTTACTTTCTTTAATTATTTGTTTAGCAGCAGTTACAAGCTTTAGTGACGTATTATAATAAGAATACGATTTAATATTGTTGAATTAAGACCATTGGCAAACACTAAGGTTTCCTGTTTCATGCGATCCGAAACCGATCCAACCCTGTGAAAGTAGGAATATAGAATTCTCAGGCTGAATTTAGCTATTATTTTTCACACTGCCTCCGATTTTTGATCCGGCTGACGGATTCGGTAGGCTCACTGACTGACTGAACTCGTATATTATTTACGCATTATTGCGATCTCTGATTTCACAGATTCAGATCGGATTCTGATCAGACATATTTCAATTGTTAACGCTCTAATAATATTACAAATTGTTAATCTGTCTTCAGTTTCTCTCCCTAAATATAAAAAAATAAAAATGTCCATGTGGGTCCCTTTGATAAGCATCTGCCTACCAATCAAGACAGGCAAGATCAAAACTTCAACATTAAAATGACTAATACTACCAAATTTAACTAGTAAATCAGATATTGAATATAATGGAAATAGCTTCTCACTGGTTAATCACTGTTAATTGCAAGTCTGAGAATATATGTAAACCTGTGCAGCAATACTCTATAATGTTTTTAGGTTTGTTATATATATTATATTTACAGATATCACTCTACACATTAAAGAATAGAACAAAGAGCAAACACTCAGAGGGCATACCTCTTAGAGGTAGTGACTTGCCCTAATGTTACATGAAATATTAATTAATATGTATAATAGTCAACAAGTCAAAATTTGCTTGGTTACATAGAGGCTAAGTAATTGTGTTAAGCAGTACTTTTTGTTTAAATTAATTGTAAGCTGATTATTTTATAATTCAACTAATAGCACTGTTGGTGCACCCACATTCATCATATCACTCACATGTTATACCATATGTATGTGTAACTTAATAATTTTTTGCAAACCATTGAGTTAAATTGTTGCGGAGTGTACATTTGTCTAGCACATGCTAAGATTGTAGATGTCTTTCCCGTCCCTGGAGGTCCATAAAATAAGAGATGTGGCAGTTGATTCTCTTTCATAAATTGATTTACTGAAAAAGGTAAACAAAACTCTAATATGACCTGTCATCTTCAAGAAACACACATATATGACCATGGGTGCCATTACTTACTTGTTTTTATGATGTCATCATGTGATATTAAATCCTCCAATTTTGATGGACGATATTTTTCTACCCTGAAATGATGGAATATTGTAGTAATATTTTTCTAATGTTAACAAAAGGCTTTATTTTAGTACTTACCATGGCAAATTTTTGCTCACTTCTCCAACCGTCATAGTTTTTTCTGAAATAAAAATGATTTTATTGAGACAGTACCATATTTCTCAAGGATGCCACAGTCTAGAAATGATCAATATGTACATATTTACATAATTTTATTGGAAAACAGAATAGGATTTTCTAGCCGAACCAACAACAACTTCGTATCTTCTCTCGTAATGATTATATATAAATATTATTAATAAAAGAATTACCTTTACCAACAATATTTGAAGTATATCAACTTTCAAGTGCACTTTTTGGAATAAACAAATCAAATCTAATTGCAATAAACTTCGGGAAAAAAGTTTATAATTTTAACATTTTTAACCGCGAGTCCGCGAATATTTGTTTTTGGTTTTCGTATTTCACTTTCCGTGCTTGAATACTAGTCCTTTTGGTGTCCGTAGTATTGAATAGAAATTGTCTTTGTTTATCGAGATATTATTTACTTTTTCTGTCGTTTAACGCTTTGCCCTGGAGTTGCATCAGGGAGGCGTTAGTGTATCACCTCTCTCTCGTGCCTCTCTACCTAGGTCGCACAGTCAGGGTAGGTATATTTGTCGGAGTGACAGTGAGCCATCGGCTACCCAAGCAGGACCGTATCGGTTGTTGTGAAATGTTGTGCGGTGTTCCGCAGAGTCGGTGCTAGGGCCGCTCCTCTGGAACATTGGCTACGACTGGGTGCTTCGTGGTGCCCTTCTGGATAGTGTCGGCGTCACGTGTTATAAGGATGAGACGCTTGTGAAGGCGTGCGGCAATACGCACCGTTACCATCACACCGTTAAATCCTAGCACTTATAGATAATGAGAAATCAGGCTACAAAGTCACTTTTCGACTGCGTGGCCACGTACTTCTTGTTTTTAACTGATTTTGCCTGTCCTACATAAGTGCAGGCCTGGGGTTGACAGGTGAGGCCATCTGCCACCCTAGCAGAAGCAGGTCAGGTTGACAGTGCGTTGCACATACGGGTATTTAGAACTAAAAGCTGGCCATAAACCTTATAATGTGTGTATGTGTCATATAAACCAATCAAAATATGGGCCTAGAAAGCTCAAGATGCCGTGGATCAAGTGGCAGCGATTTTGTTTTACGAGTACTATGCCCGTGCGTCATTCGCTAGCAATCAATCGGCATCACAGAATGCTGTGTCGGCATTTAGGCGTTTGTGCAAAGTGTACGTATTTTTTGTTGATATTGGTATTCTGTTTGTATGTTGTTATATTTAATAAGTTAATAATACATAGTGTACCGTGTTTTGATCTGCATATATAAAAATTGTGATGGGTCTATCTGAGCCAGGTATGTATTTGCAATTTTAATAGTTTGTTTGAATCTAATTTAAAGTTTACCAATTTTTTTAAAACAAAATAACAAACAATGTATGTGATTTTAGATATTTCGACTGCAATCTTTAAGAGTTTAGTTACTTTCTAAGGTTTTCCATGCTATGAATTGTACATCAAATTAAATCAGGCAAATTAAATAAAATGCTTCATGCAAAACTTGCCGCGGAATACCGCGGATGTATATTTATCGCTTTTTTGTAGGTAGAGTACATTAAGAAAAAAAAATACTATTAGTGTTTTCTTTAGGTTTCAGGGACATCTGGTGTAAAATTATTATCACGGAAAGACATTTATATGATAATAAAAGATTGACAAGAGCCAAGTTTTAAAAAAAGTTGAATTATATGGAAGAAACTGTAAAGGTATGATTCCGAACTACGCTGCACGCAGCAGTGCTGCCGCAGCAGTGCTGTCGCGGCACTACTGGTCCCCATACAATCTCTATAAGCTTATATGAGATTACATTCCGAGCTAGGCAGCAATGTCGCGGCAGCAATGTAGCGGCAGCACTGTTGCGCGTCAGTGTCGCCCTACCGCCGCGACAGACCAGTCAGTGACGCGTCTGCCGCCGCAGCAAGAGTACCTACGTGAATGTTGACAAGTAAATTGACAACAAAAGGATGAATTTCTCTGATTCAGAAGAGAAACATCTAATCATGACCCCGATGATAGTCTCCAAGACTTTTTAAATTTATAAACTTAACTCACCTTAATGTTAAGAATAATTTTTCTTCAGCGTTGATAACTTCCTTGCGAGAAACTTTTGCTTCAATTTTGTCAGCAATTAAACTATGAATAAAACTGAACTGTTTTTTATTTAAACGACAGTACTCTCTGAATTTTTCTTCATCGCCTATCAAATAGTTTTTAATCAGCGTCTTGTAACATCTTTCCCGTTGTCTGCTTTTATAAAACGAATCTGGTGCTTTTCTTTTACTATTGGTATAAAGCAACAACAAATCATCGTCATGTTCTTCCTCTTCCAACAGTATAAATAAAAGTTGGTCATCAATCGACATCTTGTCAACTGAAAGTAAACTAACGAATACACAACAACGCATCACCACGAACAGAGCGACACTGCCGCCTTGCTCGGAATTAGCGCGGCAGGCAGCACTGCTGGGCAGCACCTTAGTGGCAGCACTGCGGCAACAGCACTGCTGCTTGTTGCCGAGTTCGGAATCACACCTTAATCAATAAGTTCTGTAAAGATCAGAAACATTGGGCGACGCAGCGCCGGGCCCTCACTGCAGTCATCGGAGTGGATCTCTCGCTAGCGGCCGTAGTACGCTCCATGGCCGGTAGCGACAGTTGTTTTACCGCGGTCGCAACCTTCTGCGAGGAAGTAATATCGTAGAAGAAGGAGGCGGCGGAGAAGGCCCGGGAGGACGACCTCCACTCGGACCCGATCCACCGCCGACGAACCGGGCGGGGGGGGCGCGCTCACCTGCGCCTCATGTCGCCCTGAGTGTGGCCGCGGGTGGATGGGGTGGGTTTCCCCTCCACCCGCATTAGTTTAGCCAGCCGCGAGGGGGCGGCGTCCGCGTGTGCCGGACGTCGCCTAAATAGAGAGTTTAGCGAAGGTGGTGCCCGCGCCGTTGCGGGCAGGCGCTAGGAGGATGTGTGCCGGATGTCTTAATAACAGCTGTTCCCGGATCCCTCCTATTACAAGCGCAGAGTGGCACACCGTGTGGTTTTAGTCGGTCCGAGTCCGACACACCACACCGCCGCAAACCCCGGTGGGGTGACGGTCCGAGGGGATTTCCACACGTAAAAAAAAGAAAAAAAAAAGGTGTCAAAGAAGATATCGAAATCCTTCCACAAAGAAAAACTGAATTTATTAATACCTGCCGAACCGTCAACTAGTTGTTCATATTTAGAAACTGGTAATAATACTGTTGTGTGTTAATGAAATCAATGAAAATTAAATTTGTTATTATTGATGCCACGGCCTCACAGAAAACCGGTTGCTTAACACCGGTTTTCTGTCCCGCTGGCTTGAGCGGGAGGGACTCCAAGGGCAGCAACGCACTTGTGACTTTTGAGTTGCAGGTAACCATGGGCGACGGTAGTTGCTTACCATCAGGTGACCCGTCTGCTCGCTTGCCCCCTTATACCATACAAAAAATTGATACAAAATAATTTTAGGCCTCGTTCGAGACCAAAAATGATTTTGGGCATCTTTTTGGGTCCGCTATGTGCGCCGGAGCAACTTGCTCCATCCTCAGGTCTATCTTGAGTACATTAGCTTGATATCTTTTTTTTTATATAGTCCTGAATTATCATAGTAGTAGTAGGCGTATATCACTGTCTATATCACTCGTAACATTACTGTTGTATGCGTTCACTGTACATCCATTACGACGACAGAATTTTACCGAGGATCATCAGCGTCGTAGCTAGGCGTGGGTGAAGTGGGCCGTCACCCACGGCCTCGCACTTGGGGAGCCTCGCGACGCTCTTTTAAATGCGATGCCCAAAGACTTTACCACAGATAACTAATTAATTTCATCACATTTACGCTCAAGGTGTGTTTGCTTCGGGCCTCCCAAGAAGCCCAATCTTAAGTGCGACTGCGAGGTCATTGTTACTACCTTTAAAGGTCGCGACCGTTAGATTGACGTAAAATGAGACTGTTCAGGCATTAATAGCTATGAGCAGGGGCGGATCGTGAATTTTTGTGGCCCTGGGATACTACTAATTAGGCATTTTTTATTGAAAATCCCTTTGGATTACCAGCGCCTTGGAGTAGGAGTTAGGAGTTTCCTCTAAAAACCCGCCCTATGTCCGGCCTCAGGCGCTCAACTCTGGGAGGACCTGGACCATGTGCTTTCAAGTCCCTTCCGTATTAACGCCGCGCCTAACTAGGTAATATCCCGGGAGATGCCGCAGGCTTTCCCACCTTTTGGCCCAGTTACCTATGTGTTTTGCTGCGATTGCTTAGCCCATACCTATCGGTGCTCTGTAGAAGGCCATAGATCGTATCACAGCATCGCACCGTACTTACATAAAAGACAATTTCAAACAATTATATAAAAAAAAAAAAAGCCCTGAAGATATCCCGCAGGTAGGAGAGCAACTGGTGATACCACCAATGCCTTCCTAATCGCAGACGACAGCACCGTAGTAATAAAATGTATGGACATCGATGAATATGAAAATGACATTAATCATACTTTAAAAGACATAATAAACTGCAATGGCTTGACATAAATAATCTATTAGTTAATCTTAAAAAAACTAACATAATGCATTTTTATCAACGTAAACCAATACAAAATCTAACAGTAGAATATAATAGACAAGGTGTTGAACAAGTAAATGTTGCTAAATTTTTAGGAATATTGATCGACAGTCAGTTAACATGGAAACCCCAAGCAGAGGAGGTGTGTAAAAAATTAAGTACTTCTGCATATGTACTATTAAATTTAGCAAAAAAAGTGAGTATAACCACAATATTAACAGCTTACCATGGTTTAGTGGCGTCGATTCTGCGGTTTGGGATTGTATTTTGGGGAAATTGCACCTTAAGAGAACAGGACGCACACAGAAACGCTGCATACGGGCAATGTGCGGTCTAAAAATGACAGACAGTTGTGTGCCAATGTTTGAATCCCTAAAGTTGTTGACATTTCCGTGTATGTATATTTTTGAAGTTGCAGTCTTCGTAAGGGTTAACTTAAATTATTTTACATGTATATCAGAAACAAGGAAAGGACCGATTAGAAGTCAATATAAAAATATGTTGCAAGTTGGTGGTTATAATACTGCGTTACTGAAGAAGAATGTTTTCGGCATGGCTCCTGTTATTTATAACAAAATACCCAATGTTATAAAAAATGAAACATTAGAAACATTCAAGAACCAACTGACTACACTTCTGCTAAATAAGTGTTATTATTCAATTAATGATTTTTTGAATGATAAACTTTAGATGTTAGTTTTTTTGACAATGTGTATTGTCCTATGTTTATTTGACATTGAATTTATTTTCCTTCTTTCAATCAATATTGCTGACGTAATTATTTTGACCACTTTATTTATATTAATATTATAAGTTGTAATCATTCAAAAATTTATTTGTTGTTTTGAATTTATTGTTAATTTTTGATGCATTTTTAATGTTTGCATGCCTAGTCCAGGTAGATTGTATAAGGATTAGAAAACTTGTTAACATCACTATTTTATGTACCTACAATCAATGCAAATAAAATATATTCTATTCTATTCTATTCTATTCTAATCACCCAACACGAAAGGAGGTTCAAATCGTTCACTATGTATGTCAAGACAAATGGCGAACATTACTCCCACCGACTCCAACAGACAAAATTTTCCTTACTTCAACCGTAATACAAGATATTAACATAAGATTTACTGCATTAACTAAATATTAAAACAATTTTGGATTCTTGTACGACATAGTTTAATTACAAGTCTCCCACTTGCTCACGTCTATATTGGTCCACGCTATGTTAAAAGAGGTATTTGTTTTTTTGAATTGTAAATACAAATGTTTAACAAGCGTTGCCCGCGGCTTCAGCGGTTTAGGTGTAAAGAGGTAACAGACAGACAGAGGCTATACACTACGTGACAGAGATATAATATTAGTATGGATGTCTGGCCTATTGGTTAGTGGTTAGCGATCCTGTCTGCGAAGTTAGAGGTCTTGGGTTTAGCAGCAATTATGGATTTGTTCCCAGGACGTCTCGTGTCTCTTTACTTTTATAAATTTATTTTTTACTGGTCCCGAGATTTTCGGATCGAGACTCGTTAACGCAAACAAACGCAAAACTGTTAACGCACTGATTTTTTAAAAAGCCTGTTTGATTAAATCAGCAAAGAAGTTCAATTTGATAGTTGATTAATTATTTATAAGACTGATTTATTAGTCTGTTTTATATTTAGATTATTATGAAACAAATCTATGATAATGGGCATTATGTTATGACCAATGGCTAGATACTAGATAATAGTTATTAAGAATTAGTAAGATTATTACTGTTTCTTTTATAATTATAAAATTTATTTTTTAAAAGTTAATACTTACGTGATTATAAACAATAAACATACAAATTATTTAGACTGAAATTAGCGTTAAATTTATATTTAATACACGTTGCTTTTTAACAAAACTAGCCTTTTCTATTATTCAAGGGCAATTTTTGTTAAGAAGCAACGATTAATAATTCATATATTTCGCTAGAATTTAACTCGTTTCTAATTTTTTTGAAAACTTCTTTGGTCCCGGGACTTTGATCGTAGACTTTAAAACTGCCGAGACTTCACAAACCGTAACAGCAATGGACGTGCCCCCTACTGAGTAAATGGGACTAAAATTATAGCTGGCAAAATGTGAGCGTTTAATACGGCTTTGTCTGCCTCTTCGGGGACAAAAACATGAGTGTATGTATGTATATCTATGCATATGTATACCTTTTTTTTTTGTTGACGGGGTGGAAACTCAGGAGCCAGGAGTATGTGGTGATTCCACTAAAACCACCCCGACGGCCGGCCTCAGGTGCCGTACTCTGGGAGGACCTGGACCTTGTTATTTCAGGTCCTCGACGAATTGACACCATGCCTAATCAGGCCCTATCCCAGGGGAAAATACACTGTCCCCCCCCCTCGATCGCGACGTGGCGGCCCGATCCCGTTCAGCGGTCTCTTTCTGGAGCATTATAGCTTCACAGAAAGAGCATTATAGCTTCACAGAAAGAGACCACTGCGCCCCATCCCTCCTCACCCGCCAGCATGGCAGCAATGATGGCTGGCGGGGACAGGTCTCGTCCGATTTGGTCGACCAGGACTTCGCATTCAGACGCCCACGCGGGGCAGTCTTCCAGCGTGTGCTGGGCGGAGTCCCAGTCGGCTGCGCAGTGCTGGCATTGTGCCGTCTCCTCGCGTCCGATACGATTCAGGTACTCACCGAAGCAACCATACCCAGTGAGTAACCGCGTCAATCGGTGGTGGTGGTGGCGGTGGTACCAACCCGGTAGGTAGGGAGGGAGGTGATGCGACCTCCTTCCCTAACAAAAAAAACTCCTTACCAAAAAAAAATTGTAAGTAAACTGTCGTTTACAATACACGCAATTAAATATTTATGGCTTAAAATTTTTAATATATAAAACATTGATATAATACTTACATAGATGAGTAATTACCGCCTAAAATCGTTGCTACTGCACATCTGTCCACAGGCATATGCGTAGCAAACGTCAATTCAGTGTTCAATGTGGCGTCAACCGAGTTGAACATAGCGACACATGACAGTAACAATCGCCAAAATGGGTAAATGCGTAGTGAAAGAATGCGATTCAAGGTCACAAAACCATAATAAATCATGCGGAATTACTTATCACGTGTAAGTTTATGGTTTTTGTATTGATAATATCGTAAATAAGGCTATAATTGAAATAAAACATTGATAATTGTAATTTAGAATCAGTGTTACCATTAAAAAATCATTTTTGTTTTCCCACATTAGTGGGAGAATTTATAATTTATGAAATAATATGCTTTATACTGTTTTTAAACATTTTGTCAATAATAATAAAATATAGGAAGAACGTTAGTTGTTAGGGCTGAATCGATCACTTTTTTTAGGGACCCGTTGAACGTTCACCTTCTGCCAAGCTCGCAGTGCTGGAGACTTTTGTATAAAAGAATTAATCCATTCATTCATTCATTTTTCTTAATTAATTATTAAATGTAAATAACAATTGTACAAAAAAAAATATATATATAAAATAAAAAAGTAAATAAATATAAATAAGAAAATATGAAAAACAAAAAAAATATATTTTTTTTTTATATACTTTTTTTTATTTGTATTTTAAAATATTAAAAGAATTTGCAATACACCCTGGGGATTATTAATTATCAGTACAAGTTGATCATTCACTTTTACTATTAAATGCCATTATTTATACATAGGTAAAAATAAGATTGTATCATGAAAGTAAAATATTCACACAAACTTATAAAAAAGAGTCTAAAAGACAATTGTATACAAAACTGATGCTTCATAGCGGAGTTTGATTTTACACTGAATATAAACCCTTTTAACCAAATATTTCTAGTTATTTTATTATTTATACCTATTCCATTCAATTCGAAATATATTATTTAAAATATTTAAATTAATTTATTTTATTACAAAATTGTTTTAAAAAAAATTGTTTCTTGGTTGTTATGGATAAAATTTCATACGGTAGTCAACACTGGCCCACCATCGTAAAGTTATGTCTTTGTCTTTGTCTAATCCGAGCGATGGTATTGTTCTCGTCTCGCGTGTAAATGAGACATAAATATGTTTAATTTCAAATGTTTCGTGGTATCAAAGCTACGTCGTCAAAGTTCAAAAGTGGTTACACTTTGCTTCACTTGCACTTTGCTTGAGATTTGCTTCTCTAGTGTTGTTTTAACTAAATGATATAAAATTACAAAAAAATTAACGGTTTTGGTAATGAAATGTTTACTGGATTTATAAGTAGGTAAATGTCCGGCGTCGTAATGCCTCGCTATAACATGGTTTGTCGTGCAATCCGGCATTCTCTCCGCTCTCTGGACCTCCGGCTTCGTCTGGCTGTCGCAGTGGCGACGAGTGGTAAAATACAACAGGGCACTCGGCAGACCGCGGCGCAGTGTGGGCTACCCAACCCACATGTAATAGGTAAGTCACCGCCCGCATCGCTGTTTGGCTGGAGCTGGAACCCAGGTGCCGCCTAAAGTCTCATCTTTCTCCTCTCGACGTGAAGACAAATAATCCACTTGCCACATCAAAAATACCGGGAACTTCTGGCAGGGGGCCATTGCCCAAGCCCAGCCTTAACAGGTCCCTTGCGGGTTGTTGTGAAGACTACGAGTAATCGGGAATTATCGCTAGGATCACTAACTCCTTAAGCTTTTTAAAATTAAAGTCTTAATTTTTTTCGGAAAGCCTGACCAGCATCATGACATAGATGGTAGAAAACAGAGGCAATTATAAGAACTGCCGTCAGAAGTGAAAACTCAAAACAATGGAACTACGCGTCGCTAGTCTGGCGCAATACGTCACGAGCATGACGAGGTCATTGGAGACGCGAATCCGTAAGTTTTTCTCCTAACTGAAATCGCTCAACGCGGCTAAAGAAGTTTTCACTTCAAAAAAAAATCTCATCAGGGACTGAATTTGAAATTGCTCTTAGGAAATAATGCCACACGAAGATTTATTAAAACACCCAAATGTCATAAAAATTAAACATTTATATTATTTATCATTCAGTTTAAACATATAACAAATAAAATTCATTAGTGAACTGTTTTCTGCTTACATTTTATACTAGATATATATTGTTCGACGTGTGCGCAAGATGGCGTATCTTGCATTCCTTGATGTCCATCGAATATGGCGCTCGCCGATGGCTCCCATGGCCACAAGACGCGCTTTGTGAAAGCACTTATCATATCCATCCTAGCCTCTGACGGAATATGATATAAACTATGCACTTTACCATCCCTTCCAACGCTAAAGTAATATTTGTGTCCACTGCTTTTTGAAATTTGTGCAATCCATGGCGCTAAAAAATATTAGAGAATTTAAGTACCATGTGTCATTCATATATTTACACACATCACATATATATATTATGACATGTGATAAAAAGTTTTGTATGTATTGGTAACTGGGAGTTGCAATTACGCCAACTGATGACTATATCTTGAACTAGTGAAAACAGATCTGCTGATTAATGTCATATGTAAATAGTATGTAAAAAAACCGTATTTTAAGTCTTGTTTATTATAACCTTATTAAAATGACAAAGTTAAGGTTACACAACCTACTCAATCTTTCTGAACAACATTTCGACCACTGAGAGAATGTAGCGTGAAACTTTCCGAGCAATTAATAGCGAGACCTTGTAATATTTGTTTAGAAACTCAAAAAAAATATAGTATTTGGCAAACAAAACATAAATTTTGGATAACTGGCTCTCGGTGTTACGAGTTATACACTTATCGTATAAATTTAAAACCCAAATGGGAAAATAATTCTTAAAAATATTTCTATCCGACAAACATTACTACTTCATGAACTTTGCTGTTCACGAAACAGTATACATATAAAAACTTTCGCCTAAAAAAAAATTCTAATTTTAGTTCTAGATTTGTAGTCTACGGAGCGAAGTAAAACATGCCTGCAATCTGCGTGGCGATAAACGATTGATCGCTACTGGTAAGTTGAATACCGATTTCTGGAATTTTTTGAGGGGACTCTTTATTCTACGGACTTCTAGTTTGTTTTTAATCAATATTATCTTTATTGACGATTTTTTGATAGTGAACAGAGTGAAGTATTCGGCTGTTTCCTTTTGGGAAACAAAAAATCAATTATAATAAATCCACAGAATCAAAGATAGTTGTGTTTCATTGTGTATTCTGTCTAAAGCAATATTTTAAAGCTGCTTTTGAGTTTAATCCCATCAGCTTTCCTTTCACCTATAAACACATTCTTCTCCAAAGCGAATGTTAGGCACTTAGTTCAAAAGTAGTTTACCTTTTATCTGTTTAATGAACAGTACCGATCCAACAACATAGAACAGCCCACTTCTATTTCTATCAGGTGCCTCAACAGTAACAGCTTTCTTCACGCGTTTCATAGCACGGTATTCTAAATTACTAATGGCTGAATCAAATTCTTCCATATTGTATAGCCTTTTACACCTTAGCGGAAGAGCTTGACTATCAAATGGTTTGTTGAGTGCTTTACAAAACACATTGCATTGATTTATTCTGTGGAAAAAGATATATAAATATAGTTAAACATTACTTAAACAAATAAATAGATACACTACATCTTCACGCAGGTGCACTCGAATAAGATGTTTAGAGTTATATTTCTGAAATCAAAACTTCAAGCTTCGTAAGGTCAGGTAGGTATTCAAAAAGATATCAAATCATAAGTTCCTTTTTCATTACCATATTTACATAAAGTTGTTGTAGATAAAGTTAAAAAAATATTGGCTCTTGGTCTAATAATCATTTTAATAAGGACGACCAGGAAAACATTCAAATTTAACATACCTGTCACTTAACGAATAATCAGATATATCAATACCCCCAAGCATTAAAGTATCTATAATGTGTAAAGCCTTGCTGTAACGCTGATTAGTCCCTTGTCCAATGTATTCTTTCACAATCTGGAATTTAAAAAAAACAGTCCCTGTTATGAGTGAAATCAATTTCTTTTTCTGTTTGCATATTAATTGTTAAATTTAATTGTAAGAACAATTTATTTTACCAGAACCTAATATCGCGCATAAGGTTTTGTTTCAGTAGTTCAGTTTAAGTAGTGAATATGTGCGTACTCATTGCTTAATTTAAAAATTGTTTAGAAATTTATATATATATCACTCGTGTAATTTAAATTGTATAACGTTAATCATATAACTCTTTGCACCAAAAATATTGGTTTATATTTGCAGTAAACAGAGCCAAGGAGCATATAGTATTCTGATTGCTAAATAGTAAGTATATCAACTAGAGCAATAAGCAGTCATTAAAAAGATAATGTGGTTCTATTACATTTAATATTCCCTAGAGAAACCATTTAAAAGTAATACTATAATAAATGTTAAAATAAGTTATACCTCCCCATATATCAATGTTTTAGCAGGTAATGTAATATGCAAGTCTACAACTGTTCTCCATCCATTTGTTTCCAATTGAAATACTTTTTTGCCTCCACAACCTGCAAACAATAATTTCATAACATAAACTATATTAATTATATATAACTAAATAAACATCACATGAAGCCACAATAATCTTTTATACCTATGAAAACTCTCAAATCTGGACTGTTTTTGCCACTACTTAAGAACATAAGATGCCAATCATAAATATTGTCAAAAAGGCTTTTTAAACTCGAACTTTTTTCCAAATACTCAGGTGGTTTATTTAAAACATTAGATTTAAAAGAAAACAAGTTTTGAGAATCAATAGGTGGTTTTTTCATTCTGCCTAAGATAGCTGACAATGTATCATCAGGGCTCAGTCTTTCAGGTTGGGTCCGAACAGAATCAGGTAACTGAAATAAAATAATAATTTCAATTTAAAAATATTTCTATAATAATAGAAAATAACATGAACGTGTTTGATTACTACTGACTTTCCACAATGCTAAACATTGTTCTTTCATTTCAGCTTGATGTAACTCCTTTAAGTTCCTGTCTTTACTGTATCTTGCAATCTTCAATAAATTTTGAATTTGCTTTTTACCTAGCCTAAAACACAGCTATACCTATTAGAATCATAAACACACCGAAAAATATTAACCAAAAATACATAGTATTATACTGAATACATACAAACAATTACTCCTGTAAATGTATTCGAAAAAGTTACTATCTTCTTTGATTACATCCAAAGGTACAAGTTGTGTGACATCTCCTCGCTCGGCGCCCTTCCACAACATGCAATTGACTGAAGCTAAATGTTGTTCGGCCGGCTCTGTATTAAATCTTTTCCACAAGCAGACGAGATATCTCTCTGAATTAGCTGGTCTTGACGTCACCGGCTTATGGATACAAACTAAAAAGTTGCATATAAAAACACGATATAGTGATAGTGATCTTTCTTATCTTTAATAAAGTACAAATCTATCACAGTCAAAGCTCTTGATGGGTCAAATGTGCGGTGTGACGGAATGGAACTAACTAAAAGTACATGGTGGTCCATACTTCGCCACATGGGTTGAAGGGCCGGAAACAGGGTTCCTTGATAGCGCCTGACCGCAGAAGCGCGAGCACCACATTCTACAAAACTTTAACTCTAGTTTTAACTATATTTTCAGCCAGAGCCTCTGGTGACAGGTAGTTTTGACGTATCGTTTTACATAAAAGTAGTTAGTTACTTTTAACTGATAAAGGTTCAGAGTGAACACAACACCTATAAAGAGAAATGAAATCGCCCTATTTTTAAGACGATAAGGATATTTATCATTACATTAAATAAAAAATTAAACATCATTGCAAAAGTTCAAATGACCAATATTAAAGGTTAGTAAATTTCATCGTAATTTTGATGTACTTGTGCATGCTCGCAGTTGGCAGAATAACTTGTAACAAAATTCTATGAAAGATGAAATCTCTGCCCACAGTCCTTTATAGAGTTAGCCGTTTTGGCTCTAGTATGTTTGCAATAATAGTAAGGAAATTCGTGTCACCCATAAAAACAATTAAAAAAGCCATTGAATCCATAATTTACCGCTAATAAATGACAACATAACATGCAGTTTTACCTTTATCAAAACATCTATACATTATATATATGAGACTGACGCTGAACACGGTAAATACATCAAACAGTTTCACGACGAAATGTCCGCCAGGTCTCACGAGCATTAGTGCTGCCAGACATTGGCAAAGGTACAGCTGCTTTGAAAGAATTTCTTGGATGTTTTCTTGACCTTCCACTGAGAAACCCTAAAAGAAAAATAAATAATAATGCACTATGGTTCTAAAAAATCGAGTTTAATATTGATGGACTTTTTAATAAATGCACCTTCTCTTTGAGACAATATTGCTAGCTAGAAGCGAGTTAAAAAGTGCTTAAAATTTAATGCATAGACATTTAGTACAATTTCCAAACCTGTTTAAGCTGACAAATATTTTCGATTGTTATTAATGCAATGAATTTGATATGAAGCAATTTTATTTTGATGATTATAAGTGTCCATCTTTATATTTTACGTATTAGTATACGTAAAATAAATTATAAAGTATGTAACTTAATTAAATTGTACTATGCATTACTTTATCTTAATCATGACTTATACTGATAATACTTACACCATCAGCCATTAGAAAGTGCACACCAAGATCATCAGTTTGTTTCAGCACATGTTCTTTTAAAGACGTTAAATTGGCAGGATCGAATATATTTCCATCCTCATTTATACCATAATAAGGGTTAAAAGTCTCAGGTGATCCAGCATGGAAGTCACATAGTTTGAAGTCATTCGAACTTTTCAATGTAAATCCAAAGCCTTGAACATAAAAAGGTATTGTGTTTATCCTTATGATGTAGAAACTACATATTCATACATACAAAAAAACATAGTCGTCAAAACTCAGAAGGGTGTATGATTAACATTTTAGGCTTAGAACACACTAGCGGTTAGCCGGAATAAGACGTGCCGTTGCGGTTAGCCGCTGCGTATATGGTCATAATTAGCTATGAAAATTCAGAATAACAACCCCTAGCAACATCGTCTGGCGACGGATCGGACGGACTGCATCGAGTGTGTTTCGACCTTTTTCGGTCGTTGGTCGCCGCGTTCTAACAACCGCAACAGTAGACGGCTAGCCGGACGTTAGTGTCAGGTTCCATTATTATTCTAGCTAGAAACCTACTTTGTGATGCACATAAGTTTCGTTTTGTTTTAGATGCTAATGGTATATCTTCTGCCAAAGCTGCCCAAATTGCCGCATTCTTTCACTCAGCTGTTATTATGAACATATAGGTACATATAGGTCCTGCAAGAAATGGAACGACAAACACATATTTCTTACCTTTAGCACGCCATCCTTTCCGATACAAAACATACTCGGAAAAACCACCAGGGCCAGCACATACGTCGGCAAAATAAAGAATTTCGTTTGAATCTACAGCATCTTCACCAGTTTGTTTCTTAGGACTAGTAAAATTAAAGTCAAAAATTGCGTCAATGTTGGCCATTTTAACTGCAGCTCTATTTAAAAATATCACAGCCCCAATAGTTTCATAAGGATTGCTTCGAAAGCGAGCATTTCTTAGATCTTCATCGTCCAAACTATCAAATATTGTCTGTAAAAATACAAGTACCATAATTAGGATTTAACTGAAGACTAATAAAAAAATTAACAATATAGTAAACTTAAACTAGTATACTGCTCATTATATCTTGGCAATAGATATTATGAGAAGTATTAATAAAGTAGAAAAGACTTTCAGAGTGAAGTGTGTCCTTATATTAATATGAGAAATCATAAAAACTGTTCTCTTACCTTAGCATTCAGCACTCCTTTCAAAATAGCTGGATCTACAAATTCTGTTTCATCATCAATTGTCAATTTCTTAGGTCCTATTTTCAACCATTTTTCCAAAACATCTCCAGTAAGAGGTTCATTAGGGGCAGGGTTGAGCCATAGCTGAAAAGAAATGAATGTTTTATGTAGTAACTTAAGTTTTGCATGTATTATATGTAGTGTGGTGAACTTTCTTGAATCATATTTATGTGTTGTGCTTCTAGAATATCTAGAGCATTTTTATTGCATTTGGTGAAAAACAAAAGAAAGCTGCTGTCTAATTCATTCCAAAATTAAGTCCAAAAATGTTTACTTACTACTTCCTCTTTTGCTTCAGGTTTTTCATCTTCAGTAGAAGCTTTGAAATCTTGTGGTAATTCTCCTACAACTGATGGCTTAGCGCCTAAACCCCTCCGTCCCTTTTGTGTAGACGCTTCAACTGGCTGTGTTCGACCATGTTCAAATTTACCTAAACCTTTGCCATGTTTAAATCCCATACTTTTCATCATTCGTTTTGCACTTTCTGAATAACCAGTGTACTCTGCTTGGTCACGATTATTGTTATAAAATGAATCACCATGATCTTGAAAACTAGGCCGCACTGATCCTTCTCCATCTTCTACTTCCTCAAATACTGGTCTATAATCATCAAACTGATCATTTGGTGATGAACAGTTTTCACTTACACTACTTCTACTTAACCTAATGTTTTCTTCTGGGCTTTGATCCCCATAGTTTGGCAATGACCTACATGGTTGTTGAAATTCAGTTCCAAAATTATCGGCAGATGGTGTATCCAGAGCTTCTTTATCTGATTCTTGTAGAGCTGGGTAATTGAAAATAAAACCTTTTGTAAATATTTGATAATAAGAGAAATCTATGTGAGATATAAGTAGGTAGGTATTTAAGTAACTTCCATATTATTGTCAATGCTAATAAGCCTATAAACTTACCAGAGCCATGAGAGGTAGTGGATGAAGCACCATAAGTGTCAGTTCTGACACGTTTTGCCGGTCTTGGACTCTCATCACTGCTACTGTCCTCATCAGATGGATCTATGAAGTAATAATGATGTTCATTTTAGTTCAATATATATATAAATTCCAAAACCTCCTTTCTAAGGAGAGACCTATATCCAGCAGTGGATTATTCAAGGCTGTTGATGTGATATGTGTTTGATTCTTTAAATGCTCATTCTAGAGCATTCTAAATGAGTAGCTTAATTTTTTCAGTAAGAGCATGCAAGGTAAAGATGAATTTTGATAAGCCAAAGTAAATGTTTTAGTATTTAAGATAAGTAATCCATACTTCCATACTTATATTATAAATTTAAAAGTGAGTTTGTTTGTTACGCTTTAACTAAAATTCTTTCACCGATGGAAAGCTACATTATCAGAGAGCAACATGGGCTACTTTTTACCTTCATAACCGACCGGGCGGAGCCGCAGGCAAAAGCTAGTGATATATAAGTACACTCATTTAATGATAAGCACTAAGTGTTATTGATAATGAAGATTGAATTACATGATTTTGATTTATAAACCTATAATAAAATTGTTTGACTTTACCATCTACAGAAAAATAATTGCAAAGAAATTGTATGAAAATGAACATATATCTCATAAAATAACATTTCAATAATACAAAACCAAGATGTCTGATAGTAAATCTATGTTACAGATAGATAAACTGTTGCTAGAGTTAACTTTTGAGGTTAAGAAGACTGCAATATTTTTTACTACCTAATTCTGTTCTACACTACTCACTATGACAACAAAAACTAAAAACACATAATACTTTACCTGAAAGATTCATGTTAAATTACTCTTGAAACCAATACAACTGATTATCTAAAAATAATGCACATTTAATAAATAAAGCCGGTTTGTATTGTATGGGGTATATTCCACTAATCAGATAGAAAATGTTCTTCAGACTAACAAATACTTAATCACATAAATAGAATCCATTACATTTTTGTTAAGTGATTAGCCAACTATAGTGTCACAATTGACGGGGAATAACCATTTAATGTTTTAACGTGTTTATTTTAGATAAGCAAAGCATCAAAATTTCAAAACTAGTGGTGTAACGACTCAAATTTTCTGACCGATTTAATCCAGTTTGAGCATGAACCAAATTCCGACTCCGTTAGCCTGTGGTTTGAACCGGTTCAGCCGTATCACAAGATCTCGCTGCACTTTGTATCCTATTGTCGCGCTCGCGGCTACTGTTTTATCGATCGAATAAAACTAATTGATAAAAATAATAATAATAATATTGTACCATATTCATACAACGCCATCTAGTCCCAAACTAAGCAGAGCTTGTACTATGGGTACTAGACAACTGATATAAATACATATATACTTTTTTTTTGTAAATACATACTTATTATACATAGAAACACTCAGACCAAATCAAACATTAAATGTTCATTTATTTTATTTATTTATTTATTTATTTGTAAATTTACACACACAAACTTACAGGTTACATCTTTAAACATCCATATTAATATGTCTTAAAATTAAAAGAATCAAGCATCTGAAGTCGAACTATACGAAGCCTGTATTTCGACTATCAGCGCCAACTCCCCAATTGCACATTAAGCCTTACTATTATATATTGTATGTAAGCTATACAATATAAAATCAATCTAGTCTGTGCATGTGCTTGAGTATAATGTGGTCTTTAGTGCGCGTGTGTGTGTGTGTGTGTGTGTGTGTATGTGTGTGTGTGTGGTGTGTGTGTGTATGTGTGTATGTTTGCAACTATTATTGAGTACTGTTCATGAGTTTTTCAGTCTCTTCATAGTCTAGTTTTTGCAGATATTTAATCATCTCTTTTTTGCACTGTGTGCCTGTTTGCGGATAAATATTGAGAACTTTATTGATTTTATTATATAAATGTGGACCGTTAAAGTCGGCAAAATGTCTGCTAAATTTAGTTTTGCACCCCGACGGAAATTTACACACCATATATTTTCTACGTCTCCTTAACAACTGTGGATTATAGGTCATTTTATTGTGTTGTAGCATTATAATCTTCAATATATACAATTGTCTTACGGTTAGAACTTCGCACAGTTCATAAAGTGCCGCAGTGGGATAGAAAATGGGTTAATTATTGCAAACCTTGAGTACTGCTCTCTGGGCAACTTCAACGGACTTCATTACGGTTTTATATGTGCCTCCCCATGAGGTAATACAATATGTTAGGAGCGACTGACATAGCACATAATATATTTGCTTCATCAACAGCGGTTCTGCTACTGATCTCAAGTTCTTAAAGACATAAATGAGTTTACGTGTTTTGGAGCACAAGTGTTTGATGTGCTCTTTAAAGTTGAGATTACTGTCTATTATAACACCCAAGTACTTTATCACATTTACACGCTCCAACGATGAACAGTAACAGTCAAGTCCCAAGGAACACTCGTGTGAGATAATATGATTTCTTCCGTTTATCACGGAACTACTTCTTATGCTGAAGCAAATATATTTTGTCTTGTTTACATTTAGTGTTAGAATATTTCTTTGAAGCCATTTCGTAACAGTATTAAAACCCTGCTGGGCAGCGTCGAAAACTTCATCCCAAGTGTCAGCGGCAAAAACTAGGGCTGTGTCATCAGCAAAGGAGATGATTTCGCCTTGGGTAAGTTTGAGTTGTGTGAGCTCGTTTATGTATACGAGGAATAAAGTAGGTCCTAAGACGCTGCCCTGCGGAACACCGTGAGTAACAGGAAGATATGTACTTTTATACTGTAATACTTGAACACGCTGAACTCGCCGAAAAAGGTAACTTTTTATGAGTGCAAGTTGAACACCTCTAACTCCGATTTTCTCGAGTTTGTTCAATAAGATGGGAACAGAAATTGTATCGAACGCCTTAGCTAGGTCTAAGAACATACTTATACATTTATTTCCCATTGAGACGTTAGTTCTTGCAAAACCAATCAGCTTGTTCACAGCATGTTCGGTACACTTCCCCGTTCGAAATCCGTATTGATTAGGTGATAAGAGATTGTGTTTTTCAAGGTAGGACTTTAGTCTAGTATTTATTATTTTTTCTAAAATTTTTGAAATAGCCGGTAATATGGTTATTGGTCTGTAATTACTAATACAACTTCTGTCACCACTCTTGTAGATAGGGCATACTTCTGACCTTTTCAGAGAATTTGGGAAAATGCCAGATGTTAGACAATCGTTGAAATTTTTTGTCAGAATAGGTACTAATGTGTGTTTGTGTTGTTTTAAAAATTTGCAAGAAATAGTATCGTTTCCTGAGGCGCAGTCTGTTTTTAAGAGATTAATAATAATTTGTACCTCTTGTTCGTCGGTGTCTAAGAGTACAAATGAGTTACTTGGACTTGTTATGTTTTCCTTTATATTTATTAAATTTAGAGCGTGTGTGTGGGAATGTTTATTTTTTTGGGTAATTTTATTTGCCAGCAGGGTCCCAACATTTACAAAGTGGCTGTTTACTTCGTGCAGTGCCCGTTCAGGTGTTGAAGAGAGGGTTAAAAGTTCTTTAGGGGGTGTCGTAATTTTTGTAGTGTTGGTAATGGTTTTAATAACTTTCCATAACTGTTTGTCATTTTTCACAGATTTAATTAGTTCCCTTTCATAGCTTGTCTTTACTTTCCTTACGATTTTGGTACAAAATTTTTTGTATCGTTTATATGTTATATTTAATGTTATGTTGTTTGGAGATGCTTTTGCTTATTTATGTAACTTGTCCCTATTTCGTAGACACTTTAGTAAACCTGGTGTTATCCAGGGCTTTATTATTCTTTTACGCCGAGAAAGAGTAACAGTCATTGTATGTTTCTCAATGAGGCTATGGAGGCATCCGACACAAATGTTTGACTTGAGAGGGAATCGAACCCGCGACCTTTGGAATAGCAGTCCGTTACACAAACCACTACGCCATTCGGTCGTCAACTGATTCTGAACCGAGTCGGTGCGTCACGACATTGAATATTTATTTATCAATTTATCTACAAGCACAAGCTATATTATTATGTTCCTACAAAATCGGATAAGGTTAGCGTGCATCGTCAGTTTATTAAAAATTTAATACATAAACCAATTTACTAACCATTCGGATCTAACGGACATAATTTTCTTATTTCCACCAAATGAGAAAAAAGAAGGCTTGGGAATAGTGATACTTGACTGAATAGTTTGTTGTATTGTGCTTAGCTCTCAACAAACTACCAATCAATTCATACCGTCGCCGAGTCGGTTAGCATAAGTAATATCAAGTTTTACGCTTGTATGTAAACTTGGTTGCCAACCGTTGACAAACCATAAAACGATGGTTATTTGATCCCATCAAATCATATGCTTATCACTTTCATATTTTACATTAGCTGGTCAACTCATCCTACGGTTCAAACTGTGGTTTACTCCATTATCGATGGTTCGGCTTGCAACCGATTCACACGAATTGTCAAACCGATTCAACTCAGTTTGACAATATTACAGACTGTCACATCTCTATCCAAACCCAACAAAGCATAGAGTAACAGTAGGTTTAATTAATATTACTAATAGTACTCTGTGGTTTATTTATATTATACAGCTGGGCATTTTCACAAAAAATGGCAGGTGCCAAAAAATTAGTGATATTTTGAAGTTTGATTTAAAGGTGATATTATATTTGTAAGCAATGGTCTGATTTAAATATTAATCGAATTTCAATTTTGAACAGGGATTAATTGCTTAATTTATTAAAAATAAGCATAAACGTTAGTCAGAAAAAAAGATGTTAGGTTTGTTACTGTTATAAAAGTGATTCATAATGAAACAATAAAAATGGAATCTCCTTTTTTAATAAAAACAATAAAACATGGTTTGAACTACCTAAGTATATAGAGTTGTCGAACAAACTTAGATTATTACTAAAACTATGATTCAAAGTTTCACAAGTTTGTTACAGGTGGTAACACATGAAACACCTAATTTTTACTTTTTAATGTTTTAGCTACGTTGCTTTAAATATAATTATAATAATTAACCGTTTATGATATTTCTTAACGTAACTTTAGCTAAATTATGGTATTAATGCCTGAAGTATAAAAAATAGACAAGATTTAAATTAAAAAATTGGGGGACAGTAGCAAAACTGATGGTAACAAAATTGTAAAAACCATTTACATTTTACACAATCATCGATTATAAATCGATAAGAAGGTAAACAAATTTTAAAATCTCTGACAGGAACTAAATAATTACTTTGATATAATCAATAAAATCAACTAGATAACAATCAAGATAAATGATATCATATATTTTGCTTAAAATCTTTTTAAATTATTAATAAGACGTTTATACATGGATATAAACCTCCTCTCTACAAGTTGACTTTGAAAAAAAACAGTTGTGTTAAGTATAAAAAAATTATGAAATTTGCAAGGTGAGAAATGTAATTGCCTAGATTCCATTAAATGCACAGAATGTTATGCAAATCGTTTAGCAATCTTAAAATATGAATACTTGTTTGAATTTTTTTTACGAAATATTGTACTTATATAGGTAACACATGTAGTAAACTAATTAACATTTATTTTTTGGCATTTTCGACTTGTACATTAAAACAGGAACCACAAAATTATATTTAGTCTTTTTCGATTATTCTAATAAACTCACACAAATCACACTAGAGTTGACTAGTGTTTACTACACTAGAGTTGACTAGAGTGAATAGAGAATCGAACCTTGTGTAAAGGGTACGAGTCGCGACTCGAGCTTTGTATATAAGGCTCGACCATTGAATGAGTTTGACTCGGAAGCTCGAGCTTTCCAACA